AATCTACAAGGCCTATACTGTTGCGAGTCCGAATTCCGAACGCACCATTTTCTTTTTTGTCCGTTAAGGGCGATCCATGATTCCAAGATTGAACAAAACGAAGGGTAGTTTTAGCAAAGAGTAAGTTTTAGTGATGTATAAATAAGGTAAAATTTTTCTTTCCAGTGTAGCTAATTCTTTTAAGGATTTTGATAGTTCAGAATTTTATCGTGTACCTAATTCAGTAAACAGAATTTATTCTATAAGTTCAAAAGTCTATTGGTTTTTCGATTGGCAATATTGTACAGGGTGTTTGAAACATCATACACAAAACTAGAAACTCATTTTTTTAATTGAAAAGCCTGTACCTATATACAGTGATATTTATTAAAAGTAGATATAGGGATTTATCGACAAAAGTCTTCGGAAGGGTGCCTAATGTTATACAACCAAAATTACCTCTTAAAACAAATAGCTGTCATAATAGTTAATTTCAATATTGTTGCTTTGTACATCGTCAATCTAGACAGCTTTAAAAAAGTGCAAACCGCATCACTCTACCTCTTTTAGTTCTCAAAATATTCCCGAAAAAGATCGAAAACAAGTAATTTGGAACACCCTCTAGAATATTGTCAAATTTTCCCAAAGTACAAGTGTTCACTAATGGCATACAAATTATCAAATTAATGAAATATGAAAAGCGTTTATTACGTAACATAAGGCTAATTCAAGTAGAAATGATTTTCTGTCTGGCAGGAAATACTGTACAACTGGTGTGGTTGGTCAGAATTCGACCAAAATCGGCACATTGTACAAATCTACTTACTTACCTACTTATGTGTTTCTCTTAAAAAAATTTCTGCGTATAACAATGTAGGTACCGGTAGCTAAAGTCACTAGATTTATTTATTTATTTTACCGGTAGCAACTGATAACGTGTAAATTTTCTGTTACATTCGTTAGGTATATATACTCGTACCTATATAGAGATGCCCACTGCGAGACCTGTAAAGGATATTCTAGATGTAATGAACACACTTTCGAAAATTACAAATATCTATCAAGCACACTTACAAATAGTATACAGTAAGTTCAACAAAAGATACCTTTGCACTCTTTCTTCATAAATTTTAATGCATGCCATTGAGTCAGCATACACAATTGAGAATGAGGTACTACAACGAGCGCAACATAAGGATTGAAATGCAGAATGCAGAGCAAGTACAATGGCACTTGAAAGTCGCTACCTAAGGCGAGCGAGCACTTGAGCCCTGCATATAAGGGCTCCCTTGTATTGTCTGTGGGCCATGCTTATAGCATATGGTGAAGAGTATGGGTAATGATCCATGATTCCACGTATGCATTGCTTTCATTGTATGTTATTTTAAAGAATTGGGCAATTTAGATGTTAGGTATTTGATTGACCACGGAGACATGCATTCGTTCATATTTCGTTTTTAAATGGTGATGTAGAAAGAAGGAAACGAATTTACTCGAAAGAAACAATCTACTTATTAATTTTGTCACGAATTTACCCATCTTTTCTGTGAGTAGGTAGGTATTTTGTCATTTTAGCTAAAGAGTAGAAAAATTACGTACCTATGTAGATACCTATGAAAATGATATAGCAAACAATTTACCTATGGAGTCCCGAAAAGTAATCGAGATATAGAGAATCAGATAAGAAAAGAATTGCAGATTTACGAGCCGTATTCAATTAGCGTTTTTTTTCTAGACAAAAATGTACCTACTACGTACCTATAGGTATCTCTCAAGATCAATTTTGGTGATATTCATTTTAGGCAACACTTCTAAAGGAAAAGGTATATTATTATGAGTGCTTTTTTAATAAAGTCATGGCCAACTGTGGTTTAGCAACAAAAATTAACATGAACATTTTGACTGTTCTTTTTTCCTCTTGTGCAGATAAAGCGTATTTTTTTAAACCTAAATATCTTAGTAAATGGTTGGGTTATAAGGGGAGAAAGCTCTTTACACACAAACATTTACAGACCGCCTGGCATACATTCAAAATCCTCCGACACTCCATTCTGCTACCTACTGCAAAAAATTCCAGGACTCTAGGACCATTCTCCTAGTAGTTCAAAACGGCAGAATGGGTCCGGACGGACGGACAGATGGACAACAGGCACTTTTTTTAAATTCAAAAAAGAAGGGCCCGGACCCCGCATGGGCCCGGAAGAGCCTCAACTGTTTATGTATATACTTAACTATGTTTTAAATATCTCTACATCCCATAATGAATAAACAATTTAAGGTATAGGAAAAAACAGTTGAAACGATATAGTATATAGTAACAGAAAAAAATGTTTAGTTGGCGGTAGGTACGTCAAATGTTTTAAAAATTAGAATATTTTGAAGATTTCAAATTCGTTTAAATTGCGAGAAATTGGAACACACCGTCAATTATTTTCCAGGTTTATTAGGTATTTCACGACGGCAGCGGCACGTCAGTAGAAGACCTTCACTTTACCGTCCATCTTGGACTTTATTCACGGGGTCTATCAAGACCAATTAAATTAATTTGCGGACTGGCCCACGTGAACGGGGGTGTTTTCGGGGGATAATTTGATTATGTCCGGGAATTTCTTGGAATTTTTTCTTGAAATTTGGACATTGATTTGATAAATTAATTAAAAATTGATACGATTTTGAGCATTGACATTTTATTTAATTGATGACGTCATCAATTAAATGGATTACGACGTAATTAGGTTAATCCGCGAGTCGATTTATTTTATTTAATTTTTAATGATGCCGAGGGGCATAGGCGCCGACTACCCCGGGGCACAGGGACACGTGCCCCTGCTTGAACAATTTAGGGGGGGCAATGCCATTAATAAGTAAAAACAACAAAAAGGTAGAGTACCAGCCTCTGATTTTCGTTGTCTTGTACGGGTTTATTCGATCGAGGATGAATTGAGTTGAGAGTACTTTTACACTTCATTTCTTTCCTTCTTGAGAAATTTTATGTTTGAACTGCTCGTAGTTAGGTATATTTACTTATTATGTATCTACATATCATATAAGTAGGAGAGCGAGTAAATTTTTTAAAATTTAAAAATACAGAAATATAAATTATCTTTGTGTCAAGTTTTTAGTGGGGTTGTTGTGCCCCCCTGGAATTTTCAAAAGTCGGCGCCTTTGCCGAGCGGGCCCGTATGCGGTATGTTTGGTGTTGCACCAGGGCCCGCACATGACTTGTGACGTCCCTGGTGTAAAGAGCCTCCCGCCCATTAATCATCTATCAAAAAAGTAAACATCGATAGCATGCTACTACGGGTACTACCTTATAAGTTTACGAACTTATCTCAATTTTGGAAATTGTTCAAACTTCATTTATAGATGTTATCTGGGAAAAACAACGTAAAAGTTTTCCTCAAAAGCGCGAAAAAATAGCTTCCGCCGCGCCGCTTGGTTTATACAGATAGAAAATGTGCATTAAGTATAATTGGTCTAAGTTTATGTTTCTGCCATCAATCATAAATTAATATTATAAATGGCCAAATTTGGTATGTACTGTCCAGCCTAAGAATTACGGCAAAGTTTATGCGTATCTGTAAATGATTTAATGAACAATTTTTATGTATAACCGTTGAGTGAAAAGTAATGTATGACTAGATTTTCCTCCGCGCCTTCGTACGCTCGATATTGACGGATATCTTAACGGAAACCCAGCGTACAAAATGTAAAAAAGTGGAAACACATCGACACGGTACGACGCAAATGATTTGGCGCATTTAGGTACCTATCTATCGAAATAGCAGAGTGCGACATCAATGGAAAAAGAAGTTTAAAAAAAATCAAAAATCCTATAATCCGATCCGGCCCAATTGTGAATCTATTCTAAACCATCCGGAGATACAGAGAAACACATAAATTTTCAAAATCGGCCAAACTGTCAACTACATGCACAAATTGACGTTTGTAAAAACTGTTACCAAAAACTCTCATCTTGCCGACGTTGTAAGTGTGTGAGACAACCCCAGAAAGCATTGCAGAATTAAAAGACAGTTTGCTGGTCAACGGGTACGGTTACAAAAGGAATGAAACCGTCTGGGCTAGGGTACACTAATTATAAGGCGGCTTTTAAGATCTCTTCAAAAACAGTTGCACTGCCACACAGCACAATTTTAGGGCGTATCAGCAAGTCCAACAATCGCTGGGAGTTAAGAAAAATATCGACGATTGGAGTTGGAAACGAGCAACAAATTGCCTGGAATCGATCATCTCTCTACAATCCCCTGCTCCTACCGCGAACCGCTTCGTCTGGTCTTATGCAGATGCGTTAAGACCTGCGAAAAAATTTAACTGTAAAAAAAAGTAGGCTTTGATTGCACCAATCTGTGAGGGATCCTGCAACAACGGCACAATCGAGATAGATCTCGCAACTACGCTTCAGGGCGGACCATTCAACATGGAAGTAGAACTGAGATTCACCTTCCCTCGTTATTGGGACTCAATAAAATCGCTCTACGCTGCCACAATTGTACGTAGTGTTAAGACCTGACATTTCTTTTTCTATATCATTTCCAAGGCGCTGAAGGAGGAAAAGCGAGCGCGAAAAAACACTTCCTGACCAAATTGTTGCCTGCAAACTTAAAAATCCTTGTCTAGCGAGTAGCGACCCAAAAAGCATCAAGGGTAAAAAAAATAAAAACTATAGCTAAACTTTCATCTGAGAATCCTAATATGCCTATAGTCTAATAAATATGCCTAAATAATTAAAAATGCTATTACTCGTATTTGCAGACTGGGCAGACAGGGACCAGACAGAACATAATATTACCAAACAAGTATATTTATTTTTGTTGACCTAAACAATACATATTCAAATGTTTATAATTTACACACCTCTGATTGGTTCATAAACCATAAAAACGAATTTAATACACTAAATGAAAAATTCAAAGATAGTAAAAACTATGGCTCTATACACGATTCCACACACAAAAGTCTGTGTGAACACTACAAACATATAAAAGTGAAACTCGCTAAACTACCAGGTAGTAATATTTTTATTACAAAATATCTTATTTTAATTTGTATGCATCATATTGTTTGCAAACCGTGTATTGACTTAAAATTGTTTACTATCGGGAATAGTTATATCTGTTCGATGACACGTATTGGTCTCTATACGGTCCAGGCGGTCTATCCTGACGCCTATCGTCATTTCGATTGTTGTTATTATAATTATTTTGCCTGTGATTTCCACCTCTTTGATTATAATTATTGTAGTTCTGATAATTGCTGCCACCGAAACCGCTGTTTCGGTTACCGCCACTGTATCCGCTGCCGCGCTGTTGGTAATTATTACCAGATTCGTATCTGTTTCGGTTATTGTAGCCACCGCGATTATTACCTGCAACAAAAATTACATATTAGATTATTACGATTACGAATCATATATGACGTCTTTTAACTTGTTTATTTAAGTTCCATCGCATCAGAACATTAGACGTTCAGATCTTAGAAGGGCCAAAATTCCGCAAAGTGAGGGGTATATAACACATTTTTTTTACTGAGCTAGCCGTGGGTAAATAGAAAATTACATGTTATATTGGGATTTTTGCCAGTGTCGTAGACATTCAAGTTTATTTTATGCAACTAGCCCGTTACAATCTCGACCTCATCCTCCAAAAGCAAAATAGTGGTAAAATAACAGCGCCATCGCGGTGCATTAGGTCGGAAAAAAGAGATTGGATCTCCATTATGAACAACATTTCGTAATTGTTTTTTCCTCCATTTTATTCTAGTGAATCGCAAAGTATTCGAGAATGGTGAAATAATAAAAATACACGTCAAATAACATTACAAAGCAACAGAATCTGCTTTACAAAATGTTTGTTTGAGAAAATATGGTAAACGAAGTTCAGACTTTTCCTCGCTGGCTTTAACAAGAACGTTTAGGTAACGCAACTACCTTTTACTTTTACACAGAGACCCGGTAGCTTATAATGTTAAATGTAATCTAAGAAATCGTTTTTCTCTCATCAAAACTAGCGGCAAAACACGTAGAGATTGCTAAAATCGATAAAGCTAAAAAGAACGCGCAACGTTGACAATCATCTTTTTATTCCTTATCTTACCTGCAGATCGGTAGCGATAGAATAATAATAACGTAAATGGGGGTCGCGACGCGTAGGGGAAGATGTGATTGTGAAATTAGGCGTGTCAGTGGCGGTGACGGGAATACAAAGACTGCAATTACGCGCTCTGCCGCCGGCACTGCTGTCATTGTTGCGTCACATCCGCAAACAACTATACAATGCCGGATAAATTGGTTGTTTTTACTAGGCGGGCATTCACTGTTTACATTATAAATTATATGAACGATTATTGGTGGAAATGATAATGGAATTAATATGTGACGTTTTAATTACTTTCCAATTACGCGGTGTTTACGTTCATCAAAATTTGTAGACTTGCCTCGAAATAAATGATAGATCTACCCCTTTTAACATTACTCTTACACCTTGCTGCAGCGATACTCATATTGGTACAAAGTATACAACCGTAAAGAATCCATACAAGAACAATTTATGCCTAATTAAACGTCAATACCAACACAAACAAATTATTAACTCGCCTCAAATAAAACAGAAATAATACAGATATGTTAAAAAGGGTCAATTCTAAAAATAACATAACGGCACCATGACACAAAACAGAAAATAGACAAAACATTCGCAAAAGCGCAATGGATGAGTCACTTTAAATAAGTGTACCGTTATTAATTAAACTGCGAGGCAGCGGATCGCACGGGAAAAATAAGAGCGATTTTGCGGATGAATCTATACCTATTAACACAGACAACATATACTATGTTGTCTGTGCTATTAATTACAATCACAAAATAATGGTAAATGATAAACTTCTGTTTTATGTACTGTTGTCTATTGTTTAAAATGCGTTTAGGAAATTTTCTTTTTTTGTATTTTACTTTGAATGTACAAGTTTACACGTAGGAATTGACAACAAAGATCCTGTTTTACACGAAGCGTCAATGACTACATGTAAAACTACACGCAGAAATTTGATGATCCAAAACGGGCTTAAACGTAATATCAAGATGTGATTTTGGTAAACAAAATACCACTAAATTAGGTGTAAAATTGGTATATAGTTACTTTACGCTTGTTGTAATTGTCCCCTTTTTACAAATTGAATAAGAAATAATGTCTTATAATAAAATAACTACCTATTTACCATAGTTTGTTTAGCACGATTCAAAATAAGAATTATTAAATATTATTCATTAACGTCAATCGTCTACGAGTCACGTGCGTTGATGTTCACGTGGCATACATTAAAATTATTATTGGGTAGGCTTACACATCACCGACCCTAGTCTTTATATAAGCTGTCAAAACGTCTATTTGTTCGTTATTAAAACTTTCTTGGTCTCAATGAAAGAGCTTTGCTTCAATAGGATGTACAACAATAAAATCATTCATTAGGGCTAATAGCTTTGATTATACAGCTTCGTGTAATCGTTGTTCCAATGTTTGCATAAAGGACACGTCGAATAGTGCAATTGAGTTTACTTTGTGCTTATGAAAATAACTTGAGAAGTACATCAGGATGTAACATTTAAGCAACAATGCATAATGTTAGGTACACGCTGTATGCAAAGACGAAAGGTCTACCATCTTCAGGGCCGGCTTTAGGCGTAAGCGGTGTAACCGTCCGCTTACGATGCAGACAAGAAGGGGCGCAAAATTACTCAAATTTAATGACTGCCAAATCACGGATCTAAAACACCGACGGCGTTTTCTATTTTTAAAATCAAACGAACACGATATAACATAAATTGAAAAAATTCCTAATATAGTAAGAAATTATGTAGCGAATATTCCAGAAATCCCGATAGATATCAAGGCGCCATGAAAGATTAGTAATCGGCGATAAAGAACAAAGGCGGATGTGATGCAATCTTTCCGGGAAATGTGATATGTTTTGTTCTAGAATGTTCAAGACCATTCAGGAGCACTTGAGAATACTCGAGTTGGCTATATAAGCAAATCGAATTGCGTTTCAGGAAAGAAAATTTCAACACCGAAGTAATAAATAGTTCCCACTGTTATAAACTGTGTTAATGTGAGTGATAAATAATATTTGGATGTTATAAATAAATCACCTCTATATTTTTTTAAAACCTGCTTGTAGCTTGCCAAAAGTTCCCATTATTTAGGCTTTAGCGCGGCGACTAGGGGCACAAATTTTAGTGCTTCCTTACGCGTAACTTTTGTATTGAGCCGGCCCTGACCATCTTTAAGGCAGAATCGCATTCTACATGAGTCAACATATCGGCACCCGTTCCGTTTATACACAAACATTCACCTAGGATCTAGGTCACTAGAATCGATCGTCTACCTTATCCAAAAAAGAAATTTTCCAAAAGCGGTATGAAGTTAGTGGGGTCTACTAGTTTTAATATAAAACCGCACACGTGAATTATTATACATGCTGTTTCACGCAACCCGGTACCTAAAATTATTTAGACTTCCAATTTGCATACCTACAAACATAGTTTTTCATGATATATCGAAAGAAAAGATTATCATGATCGCAACTTTCTTATTTTAAATAGAACATCCTATATTTCATTGCATTTTTGAAATCTAAATGAAAATCTACGTCGTTTGATACCCTACACCTAGCATCAAAGGTTTTTAAGTTATTCAAGATTTATCAAAATTTTTGACGTTTGACTGTGTATTTTTAGCGCTCTGTATCTATAGCTCCGTTGACTTGAATTTCAAAAAGTTTTCCAAAATCAACAATACTGACGTGATGCTACCATAGACATATGCGCATATGTCTATGGATGCTACATGCGAATGATTTAAATTTTGATCACCTTTCTACAGGGTGTTTTAAAATTAAAGGGCAAGTTTAATAACTTCGAACCTTAAAAAGTTGTCTGTATACCACAATCGTGAAAAGTCTTCGACTTCAATCTTTTTTGCGCAAATGTTGAACAGGGATTTTTTCACAGGAACCTTGGCAGAAAGTTGGCGTCGGTAACGGCATTCCGATGGTGGTATTAGCGTGTAATTACAGCAAGTAATAATTTTAATCTTTCTTGCACTCACCATCAATCTTTAAATTTCGTGTCACAATTTATTATTATCTACATTTTACATTGAATGCTACTTGTTTATTGAAGTATGGCACGCTACCAGCTTTGTTTTATGTGTACCGTTATTGAATCATGTTTGTTTTACTGTACAGGAGGTTACGTCTTTATATTATTTTATTAAGTACTTATTAATGTGTTCACGTGGAAGTAGATTAACATTGTAATGTTCCTCTGTATGTTATGACTAACAATTTATTTCGTAGAGGAAGTACCGATTCTTTGCTCTATATGTTGATCCATCATATTGTGCGGACTGTAGCTATTGTGAGATTTTGTTCTGTTTAGATGTGGCTCTTTTTGTGGTAATCAACTTTAACACGAATACTGCTTGCGTTTTGTACTTTTTTGTGTTAAATTAATGGTAACCGACACTGGAGAAGACTTATGCCAATTTTGATGTTTTTTAAACGCATTTTCCAACTCATGTTGGAAGGCGCTATTATGGCCACTTTCTCCGTCCGTCCGAGGCCTTAACTACTACAGTTTTCAAGATATTTAGTTCGTTCTTTGTGCATTCGGTAGCTTACAGCTCTGGCACCCCTACCAAGAAAAATCTTGATTAATATGCGCATACTACGCAATATACTTTCTTATTTATAGATATTTATTAAAATTTTAACCACAGATACTTTTAGTAAAAACAAGCATATCGCATATCGTAAAAAAATGTGCGCATGCGCAAACTGCCCAATGTCAACATTCTTATTTGTGAAGATATTTTTATGAAATTTTAACCGCTTCTAGTAATAGTAAGCATATCGCATATTGTAAAAATCAGATATGCGCATACGTAGACTACGCAATGTCATCTTTCTTCTTTATAGATATTTTCTGAAAATTAACCAAAGATTCTTCTGGTAAAGGTGACAAGCATGGGGCATAATGATAAATCAGATGTGCGCATGCGTAATGTCATCTCTCTTACATTACATGACCTTTCAGGAAGTCCTGATCAATTCATGGAAAGTGCGCTAAAATTACTCGCCTTAAGGCGAAAACCTTTTATTCATTTATTAATTATTAGTCTCGCCAGGAAAGAATGCCGGTCACAGAACATCTCGGTCTCCAATCGTATGGTTTAATATGAAAATGAACATGACTGGCATTCTCTCCTGACGAGCATTATAGATGCAATTTATGATTCCTCATGTTTTCAATGTGAATTTCGGATGTCTAGTGTTTCGTTTTTATTAATTTGGTTAATTGCACTTGAGTAG